GTGTGTGTGTGTGTGTGTGTGTGTGTGTGTGTGTGTGTGTGTGTGTGGTTAGCCTGAGTTGATGTGCTTCACTGCAGTGTGAAATTGGGCTTCTGGTCCACTCTCTGACATCGAGCTGATCTGCAACCTCAGTGTCTCTCTCTTTTTCATTTATTCATTTTTACCATTCACCATCCTTTAATAATTTATTTTTTAATTAATAACAAATTACACTGATGCATATTTAGTGCATTAATATTTGGAGGCAAGGAACATGTTCCAACTATAACAGCACCAAGACTCTTTGTTAAATGGACGGAAAATGTTTGACCTTGAATGAAACTGTTGAGACTTAACCACACCAATACACAGAACATAAATGTTCATTCCCTGAGGAGCCGAATAATTTGAAATGATGTCCCTTTACTCGACCAATATACATTGAAAGTGCACCATTATTGATGATTACCTTTAAGAAGGCCTTGACATTATTTAAGTATTTTAATTTAACTTATGTTCATCATTTAGTGCAATGGCTCTTTATTAACCTTGTCAGGATATATTACCTTATAACATTAAATAAAACGCGTAAAAATGAAATGTGTAACTCCAACCATACATTGGGACTCATGTCTGTCCACCGATTGTAATTGGTGAAAGCATAGACTTCAAGTATATTAGAGTTCTAAACAAGGTCATTACCAAAAAATTGTAAAACCTTATTTGTACCATAAGTCAATTTTAATTCAACACATTCCATACATTAAAATCAATATAATCTAACAATAATGAACCACAGTTTAGTTTATTTTAACACTTAAATAAGACAAATGTTTTTATGTCTATAAATGTTTTATTCATTTTTTTTTCCATTGGAATTGATGGTGGTTGATGGCTCATAGAAACATTTATACATAATGCCAAACGCCGTCCCTTTGTGGGGGCCACAACATCGAGTCATTCTCCTCCATCTTATTCTGCCCTCACTCCATCTACCTCCATGCCCATCGCTAACTGCAAAACAACTAAAACAATCAAACAAAATATTTTCCTCCAATATTTAGTACAGTTTTGTACCTGAGCATGATAGCATTTTGCAAAGTGTGTTCAAAAATAATTTTGGAGAGAGGACATTTAAATGTCAAAAAAAGAAGTGTCAGGCTTAAATTTTAAAACAGATGAACATCATCAGAAATTTAAGCCCCGTTTACACAACGATCCAATGAAAACAGACATTGTTTTTCCCATTTCTATTAACACATTTACATGAAAGCATTCTAATTAAAATCTCTGTTTACACAGCAACAGTAGATGTGGAAAAGGTGCAATTCCATCACCACACCACTAGCAGGTGCTATGTTCTTTGAAACTTGAAAGTAAGTGCGCATGTGCGGGAAAAAAAAAAAAAGTTCTACCTGAAAGCTGCTACAACGATCAAGATGGCAGAGATTAAAATTATGTCCAGATTACCTGACTGAGAATTATTGGATTTGACACCTGGATGATTGAGCATGAACTTTGTTGTTCTATGGACAGGCAAACGAGGTTCAACTGTTGCTTAGGGTGAGTGGAGCTGTATGAGGTCCGTCTTCGATGATTTAAGTAAAGAGGTAGAAAATGAGCACTGTGTTGGAGAGCCGTAGTTAGATTTATACAAGTTTTTGAACCATTGCACTCTAGAACCCGTTCTCAAATTGTGCCGTTGTCAGAGAAAACATTTGCTATTTTCGTGTAACTGAACAGTACAAATGCAACAAAACTCTTCAATTTTCACCAGAAATCATGTTCATGTAAACAGGGCCTTAGGTCTTAATAAACGTTAAAAAAAAAAAAAAAACGGCAACAACCTAACGCTGAAATTGAGAACCACATCATCCTGCTGCTGATCATCCTCTGTATGTTGATTCTTCAGCTAATAGCTCTTTGAGAATCACCTTGTTGAATCTGAAGTACTGTTATACTGTATTGTATGTCTTCTTGTATTCTCTTTGGTATTTGTATGCATCCAACTAAAGAAATTAAAAATACAAACAACTCTGCTTCATATATTTTGATTTTAGCAACCACTTTTGTCCTCAAATTTACATGGGTCAAAGTTAAGTCGCTTATCAACCATACTCTTCCTTTGAAGAGTGAAATATTACTGTACATAAATAAATACTAAATAATAAAAACTTGAGGAATAGACTCAAGACTTGTGCATAATAGCTACTATGCACAAATACAAAAGTACTGTTAACATTTATTTTAAAATAATTGAATAGTTTAATAATTAGTTACTGCATTTTAATGAGCCAGTGAAAATAGCCTCAACTTTACTAAATGTGTGGAGATGTCCCTATTTTACACTTACAAAGTTGAACAGAGCAAAAATTAAAATTAAAAAAGAAATATTAACACACCAAAGTCAATGCTCGATAATCCAAGAAAAATCCAACAATGTTCAGTCAGATCATCTGGACATTTTTATTTATTTTTTGCTGAGACATTTCATCCTTCATCCAAAGGACTTCTTCAATCTGAGGAGCCACCAATAACCTGAGTCCCACAAAAAGCACACTTCCATAGTGGAACTATGTCCAACTTTCCACTATGGGAGTGTGCTGTTTGTCAGACTCAGTTTGTTGGTGGCTCCTCAGATTGAAGAAGTCCTTTGGATGAAGGACAAAACGTCTGAGCAAAAATAAAAAAAATAAAGAACCCGTCCAGATGACCTGACTAAACATCACTCAAATATTAGCACGATTGTCTTGTGTCTTTTTGTTAGTATTGTTTTGTTTTACAAAGGCTATGGTGAATTATGATTTTGATACTGGAGAGCAATTATCCAGACCCTTTTAAGTTTCTGTGGACACTTAGCGGCAGGTCACTTTTTTTTTTTTTTTTTTTCCCACCAGTTAGCTCTTAAATTTACATAACTGCACATTTTAGGATGTCACGTTGCACTGTTGTGATTATCTGTAGCTAGAACATTTGCATTTATGGTATTTTAATCCAACGAAAAATAAAAATCTGCATGTTTTGCTCCAACAGCTGTATGCTGTTTACCTCATTGTTTCTCTGAATCTTTAGCAGACCGGTTATCAAGCAGCTGTGAACTGCTATCCATAGGTCACCCTAAATCCTCTGGGAGGCTTTAGGCTCAGACTATCCCTGGCCTGTCCATTCAGGAAGAAAACGAGAATCTATACAAGCTTTAAACTTCTCGGATCATCAAGACTCTAGACAAATGAAAAAAAAAACAACCTACCTCAAGCTGCTGAGCCTTGGCACTTTTAGGGTCGCAGAGGGAAGTGTTGATCCTATGGTTGTGTTTGACACAGCGCTGAGTTGTATTCTGGGGCATTGGGAACATCTGGCGTACCAAAGTCAGCCGGCCAATTGACTTCATGACTAACTCCTGTAAGTCATAGTCTGAGATCTCCTGTGTTGGAAGAAAACAAAAGCAAAATATGAACAATGGAATACAATACAGAATATAAACAGAGTTGCAGTTTATTCCCAAATACCCTTCTGCTGTCCTTAGGTCTAAAATACTTTTTTTTTTACTCATCGACTCATATTGACCTCAGGGTAGCAGGATTGCTATACACAAAAATCACTGTTATGATACATGCACATTTGGAAACAAAATTGGAGAAAATTATACTTCCAAGTTTGTGAGGAAGTGCATGCATTTGTTATGTGTACACATGTACATGAGCACATGTCTGTACTCTGGATGTCCTTGCAAAACCTTGAGAAAGGAATCAATGCTAATTTTAGCCCTTGGACACAATGCCTCCCTCCTGCTCTCCATTCATGAATCTCCATCCATCCTTCATGCAGAGAGTCATATGATGACGAGATGAAAAGTGACATTTATCGTTCCTGGTGGAGGTAGAGCCATCACCAAGGAAAGCAGCTTTAGCTTTTTGTATGTGTGTGCAGTGATTCTGTGTATTTTTTTGTGTGCTTAGATATCTTGTGTGCAAATGCTGGTTTATGAGATCGTTTATAAACACCCTCCAATCAAGCACATCTTTTCTGATGCCGTTTTATTTGCACATGGCAGCACACTTGACAGGATGGATTGGTCTCTGGATTACAGATTCTGCTTATACCTAAACAAACACACCCTTCATATTAGTGAGGGGTAATATTATAGGTATCACACCTCATTGACTAATCGCAGTGAAGGCAATTAACATTCATTAAGAATTGTAAGTCATTGCAGGATGATCAATGATGATAGGTTTTTTTTACAAGTATTACTGCTATAGCTCATGTGATCAGCACTAATTAGGCTCATCTATAGCCTTTACTCTATTAACCCTTACTCTGTTTGCACAACCACCCTTGTGCAAACAAATTGCTACTGTAAATGCCTCATCAAGTGCCTTGATAACCAGTTTCTACACTCCCTCTGCCATCAAATATTTGACTCTCCTACAATACTGACAACCCAATGCACAGTTTCTCTACATTTTAATAAAAGTTGGAAAAAAAAACAAGGAAAATGAAAGGATATGTGCTTTGAAAAAGCTGAATAATTTAACATGATTTTTCTTGAATTATTTGCTCATTGCAAACCACCCAAACAGTCAAAATATGTGCTGCGTATTGGGTTAAAATATGGAGAGCAAAACTGGAAAAATTGCCTTCATTCTCAAGTCCTGAAGGAGAATTAATAAAAAATAAAAGCCCCCACAAAAAAGATGCAAGACAGAAAGAAAATGCTGAAATGCTGGATTTGTGGGCCAAAAAGAAATTAAGATTCAGTGCAAGCAGTCAAGGACATGCAAAGAAAAACTGGCAGGCAGAAAACGATCTACAATGTTTCACTCAAAGAATCAAAACTCAAACAAGTACACATGCAGCACGGCACTGGAACACAAAAGACCTCCACCTATAAACAGAAACTTAACAAGAAACTATCATTTTGAGTTTTGTCCCCAGAACACCCATCTTCCACTGTCATGTTCCATTTGCCTCTTTGTCTGCATTTCTCTGTGGGCAAACTAGACAGTCATCACCCAGTATGACTTTCAGTGCCCTCAAAGTTGTTAGCCCTTTAACAGCTAAAACAAAGTGAAAGTGACACGTAGATACACTCTGAATAGCACATGCTCATGTGCAGAACACCACCGCACTCGAGTCATAGGAAGAGGGAGATATTTTGCAGAGTTGGCATTCACCTCGAATAATCAAATCAGTCATTCAAATCTCAGGTTTCACTTGTCTCATTCCATCCATCTGGCCCACAGTTCACTGACTTGGTCTGTCCTGCCATTAAATAAAAATAAGCTAAATACAAAATGAGGGATTTAATTTAATATGCTTTGATTATACACTACTGAACCATGCATTAGAGAGTTTTATTTTTTAAAAGCCATGGAGTGCCTTAATTACAGCTGTTGAAGTTTTTTATAAATTTTTTTGCACTTACTGTCACGTTTAAATGATTTCAGATAATGCACTCAGTCCTTTAATGCTAACAGACACCCGCATAAGGGCAGCAAAAACTTTTTTTTTTTTTTTAACAGTCCAAATTTTAAGCTAAAAAAATCTGAACTTCCAGGATGCAGTTTAGAACTGAAAAAAATTGTTTTTTTTAGATTACTAACAGGGATTCTTGGGTTGGAATTTCCAGTATTAAAATCATTTAACATCCATCCCTTTCTCTTAATAGCCAGAAAGCACCAATCCTCAGTGTTTTTTTTGTTTTTTTTTTAAGTTGAAGGTCAGAGAAAAGTATCTCTCATGCTCACATTTTAGCCAGTTTTTTCTTTCCACCCTTGTTTGGTCTGATTTTTTTTTCCTCCTAAATCACACTCTTTCTCTCTGCTCTCCTCTTAAAAGCACTAAATCCCCTTTTTTATTTGAGTTGTGAATGAGAATGAAGGCAGCTCTTTAAAATTCTTTAACAGTTTCTATGCATCCTCAAACACTCAGCACCCACATCCTTTGTCACTTTGTTCTTTGTGAGAATACCAAATCTGCAGTTTTGGTCTCATTTTAAAAAGTTCAAGGTTTCACTCAGTTCCCCTGCGTCTGTGGCCTTGAGCACATTCTCACCAGAACACACACACACCCACACAATAAATAAAATGAAGTATATATATATATATATATATATAT